AGAGACAGAGACAGTGAGAGGAAAAATGAGAAATCATCCCCTGGGGGGATGGCCACGCCACAATCCCTTCTCCATTCTCCTGAGATCTTGAGCACACACACACATGTGCCCAGCATGGTTTTCAAGCCACCGGGTCTGGAACTCAAACCCAGTTGACCATAGGTTGACCATGTGGTAGTCCAGCACTTCAGTTACTACACCCACCACCTCCTGGCCCCGAAAATGTATGTTTTTCTGAAGTCCTTTTTTATTCTCTGAATGTACTTGGTAGTTTCTTTTTTTAATTATTATTTTTTCTTTTTTTCATGAGGGAGTGGGGAAAGAAGAGAGGGAGGGGGAAAAAATAGACACGGATACCCTGGAAAGAGTCTCACCACACTGCTATCCTTTTCTCTGCCTTCTAGCAACCAGGGCCATGGCATGCCCACAGCCGAACCCTGCAGATTCAAACCCAGGGCTTTCCCACATGGCACCAGCCTCACCCTACCACCTACACCATTGTGACTGAGCTTTGACGTACTTTTAAATTGGAATTATTGACTTATTTATTCTATTGAAAAATGAAGAATCTAGAAAATATACATGCTTAGGTTAGGAGGCATTTTCTTTTTTTCTCTCTCTTTCTTTCTTTCTTTCTTTCTTTCTTTCTTTCTTTCTTTCTTTCTTTCTTATTTTGCCAGAGGGCACATATGTTCACCAGAGAGAAGGGTAGGTGGGGACAAGGAAAGTGAGAAAGCATCTCCTTCCTTTGCGATTTTGGGCATGCACACACAGATGCCCAGCTGTTTTTCAAGCCACTGGATCTAGGACTCTAACTGCGCAATTGGCTGTGTAGGATCCAGCCACCTTAACCATGGGACCACGGGCTGGCCCAGACTACATTTTCTGACTGAAAGACCAACCTCTTAAGTTGTAACCTCGAACTAGAGAATAGTCACTTAAAATTCCACAGAATTTGATGATATGTAATATTTCATGTCCGTAAGAGTTATGTCATGTCCCTCAGGGGGTTTTTGTTGTTGTTGCTTTTTAAGAGAGATTTTTGCTACAGGGCGCATGTGCTCACTGGAGAGAGAGAGAGAGGAAAGTAAGAAATCAGTCCCCGGATGGATGGCCACACTGCAATCCCTTTTCTTCCATTCTTATCTTGGGATTTGGGGCATGCCCACACATGCACCAGGTGTGAGTTTCAAGCCTCTGGGTCCAGGACTTGAAAGAAGCACCTTAACCACTATACCACCTGCTGGCCCCATGTCTCTCGTTTTTAGTGTTTCTTTATAAAAGTTTATATTTTTTGTCTATAATCACTTTTTCCCTCTAAGTTGTTTTTTTTTTTCTCTTAGTTTGTTTTGCTCTTTCTTTTCTTTCTTTTTTTTTTTTTTTTAAGAGAAGTTTTTGCTATAGGGCACGTGCACTCGTCAGAAAGACAGAGAGAGACAGAAAGTGAGAAATCACCCTCCAGGGTGAATGGACACACCGCAATCCCTTCTCCATTCTCCTCTCGGGATCTTGGGCATGCACGCACACACGCCCAACATGAGTTTAAGCCACCGGATCCAGGATTGAGCTGTGGTCAACTACATGGAAGTCCAGTGACGTAGCCATTATGCTATCAGCTGGTCCCTTGCTCTGTCTTTCATAAGTGTGTGGGGGTACTTGGCTATCTTCTCACAGAAGCAGGTTCTAGAAAGGCATTGGAATGTAGGTGTGGTGAAGCTTGTGGACCAGGTCTTCACTGTAGGGTGACCTCCATGATCGTTTCCTTGGAGTGCCTCTGATATCTGTTTCTTTAGATCTTTTATCTCGGTCAGTCAGGTTCTCTTGGTAAATTTTAGTTTTTGCACTATTCATGTCCTTTCCCTTTCTGATAATTTCTAGGTACATGCAATCTTTGAATTCTAATAAATAAAAATCTCTCTTTGAAGTCTCTAAACAGATGTCTTTTTTACTCTCGTGTTTTCTTTTCCTTTTTAAAGAGAGAGAGAGGTATTTTTTGCTAGCGTCTCATAATGATGCTGTTCTCCCACTCCTGCCTCCCGGTTAGCTAGGATTATAGGTGTGTGCAGTGACAGCCAGTGCGTTCAGGTTGACCCAGAACCGAACCCACCTTCCATGAGACTGCCAGCCTCCCAACAGGTGATGCTTCTTGTGCGTCAGTGTGGCCGGACCTCCTGCACATTCTTATCTGTTTCATGGCACTTACCAGTTTAGCAAACTTGCTAAAAAGTAAACTAGCAAATAAGCAAATAAAATTACCTGGAATACAGAGAATAGGAGTCACTTTCAGTGCCTTATTTTTTCTTAATCATATTTGATCAGAAATTGGATGAACCTTCGGGATGCTGAGACAGGAAAAATACTCTGGCAAGGAACAGAAGACTTATCTGTCCCTGGTGTGGAGCATGAAGGTACTTTCCAACCCTTTGTCTGCACTGGGCATAACTGATATTGGAGCAGGACCTGGGTGGCCGGGTGCTAAGTTAACACACACCTGATAGGTGGAGAGCCCTTGAAGGCACAGCACATTAATCCATGTTTTGTTGACATTTTCATTCCTTTCTTATATTTTTCTTTCGTACTTTCTTCCTTTTTTGGGGGGGAGGGGGAGGTTTTTGCTATAGGGCTCAGACACTCGCCAGGAAAACAGAGACAGTGAGAAATAACCCCCCCAGGGGGATGACCACACTGCAATCTCTTCTCCTTTCGGGATCCTGGGCATGCACGCACATGTGCCCAGAGTGAGTTTAAGCCACTGGATCTGGGACATGAACCATGGTCAACTGCATGGCAGTCCAGCAACACGGCCTACTTTCTAAAATACATTATGTGCTGAAATTTTAGCATTTGAACATTGCCAAAGGTAGAAATTAAGTTTTTTATTTTTTCAAAAGAAAATTTGGGGTTTTTTGTTGTTTGTTTTTTGTTTTTTGGGTTTTTTTTTTTTGAGAGGTTTTTGCCATAGGGCCCGTGCACTCGCCAGACAGAGAGAGGCAGAGAGACAGAAAGAGAGAAATCACCCCCCTCCCCCGAGGGGGGATGGCCACGCTGCAATCCCTTCTCCTCCGTTCTCCTCTCGGGATCTTGGGCACGCACGCACACGTGCTTGGCATGAGTTTCAAGCCACTAGGTCTGGGGATCTTGGGCACGCACGCACACGCGCCCAGCGTGTTTCAAGCCACCAGGTCCAGGACGTGAACCGCAGTTGCCTACACGGGAGTCCAGCAATATAGCTATTACACTAACTGCTGGTCCCTGTTTTTTGTTTTATTAAAAGAGATTTTTGCTATAGGGTACATGTGCTTGCTGGAAAGACAGAAAGCGAGAAATCACCCCATTTCTTCTCCTCCTGAGATCTTGGGTATACATACACACTTGCCCGCTGTGAATTTTAAGTCACCGGGTCCAGGACTCAAACCATGGTCAACTATGCAAGAATCCAGTGACATAACCATTACTCCATTTGCTGCTTCCAGAAAATTTGTGATTTTATTTCCCTGAAGTAAAAGAAAAAGTAAGAGGTTAAAACCAACAAAATAGAGAGAAGATACCCATGCAGCTGTGTTCGTGGCGAGAGTACAAGGTGGGGCCTTAGATGCTCTGAATGTGTATTACTCCTTGAAGAGCCTTCAGAGGACTAATTGGAGACCTCTGCCTTCAACTTTATAGCATAGTGCAGTTTTCAAGGCATTATCTGAAATACAGTATATAGAATGTGTTCTCTAAATCAGCTACAGGGAACTCCCAGAAACTTAAAACTTCATAGTCATGGATTTTCATTTAGAATGGCTTCAACATTTCTTTTTCTTTTATTAGCCCGTGTTCCCAAGAAAATCCTCAAGTGCAAGGCTGTGTCTCGAGAACTGAACTTTTCTTCAGCAGAGCAAATGGAAAAATTCCGCCTGGAACAAAAAGTTTACTTCAAAGGGCAATGCCTTGAAGGTACTCTGCCACCTGTATGCCTGACATCGGGGCTTAGGGTGACCAGGACAAAAGATAAGACTCAGTGAACCAAAGCAGTGTTTCGATAACATTCATCTTACAACTCAGTTGGAAAGAGAGAGAGAGGTATTTTTTGCTAGCGTCTCATAATGATGCTGTTCTCCCACTCCTGCCTCCCGGTTAGCTAGGATTATAGGTGTGTGCAGTGACAGCCAGTGCGTTCAGGTTGACCCAGAACCGAACCCACCTTCCATGAGACTGCCAGCCTCCCAACAGGTGATGCTTCTTGTGCGTCAGTGTGGCCGGACCTCCTGCACATTCTTATCTGTTTCATGGCACTTACCAGTTTAGCAAACTTGCTAAAAAGTAAACTAGCAAATAAGCAAATAAAATTACCTGGAATACAGAGAATAGGAGTCACTTTCAGTGCCTTATTTTTTCTTAATCATATTTGATCAGAAATTGGATGAACCTTCGGGATGCTGAGACAGGAAAAATACTCTGGCAAGGAACAGAAGACTTATCTGTCCCTGGTGTGGAGCATGAAGGTACTTTCCAACCCTTTGTCTGCACTGGGCATAACTGATATTGGAGCAGGACCTGGGTGGCCGGGTGCTAAGTTAACACACACCTGATAGGTGGAGAGCCCTTGAAGGCACAGCACATTAATCCATGTTTTGTTGACATTTTCATTCCTTTCTTATATTTTTCTTTCGTACTTTCTTCCTTTTTTGGGGGGGAGGGGGAGGTTTTTGCTATAGGGCTCAGACACTCGCCAGGAAAACAGAGACAGTGAGAAATAACCCCCCCAGGGGGATGACCACACTGCAATCTCTTCTCCTTTCGGGATCCTGGGCATGCACGCACATGTGCCCAGAGTGAGTTTAAGCCACTGGATCTGGGACATGAACCATGGTCAACTGCATGGCAGTCCAGCAACACGGCCTACTTTCTAAAATACATTATGTGCTGAAATTTTAGCATTTGAACATTGCCAAAGGTAGAAATTAAGTTTTTTATTTTTTCAAAAGAAAATTTGGGGTTTTTTGTTGTTTGTTTTTTGTTTTTTGGGTTTTTTTTTTTTGAGAGGTTTTTGCCATAGGGCGCGTGCACTCGCCAGACAGAGAGAGACAGAGAGACAGAAAGTGAGAAATCACCCCCCAGGGGGGATGGCCACGCTGCAATCTCTTCTCCATTCTCCTCTCGGGATCTTGGGCACGCACGCACACGCGCCCAGCGTGCTTTAAGCCACCAGGTCCAGGACGTGAACCGCAGTTGCCTACACGGGAGTCCAGCAATATAGCTATTACACTAACTGCTGGTCCCTGTTTTTTGTTTTATTAAAAGAGATTTTTGCTATAGGGTACATGTGCTTGCTGGAAAGACAGAAAGCGAGAAATCACCCCATTTCTTCTCCTCCTGAGATCTTGGGTATACATACACACTTGCCCGCTGTGAATTTTAAGTCACCGGGTCCAGGACTCAAACCATGGTCAACTATGCAAGAATCCAGTGACATAACCATTACTCCATTTGCTGCTTCCAGAAAATTTGTGATTTTATTTCCCTGAAGTAAAAGAAAAAGTAAGAGGTTAAAACCAACAAAATAGAGAGAAGATACCCATGCAGCTGTGTTCGTGGCGAGAATACAAGGTGGGGCCTTAGATGCTCTGAATGTGTATTACTCCTTGAAGAGCCTTCAGAGGACTAATTGGAGACCTCTGCCTTCAACTTTATAGCATAGTGCAGTTTTCAAGGCATTATCTGAAATACAGTATATAGAATGTGTTCTCTAAATCAGCTACAGGGAACTCCCAGAAACTTAAAACTTCATAGTCATGGATTTTCATTTAGAATGGCTTCAACATTTCTTTTTCTTTTATTAGCCCGTGTTCCCAAGAAAATCCTCAAGTGCAAGGCTGTGTCTCGAGAACTGAACTTTTCTTCAGCAGAGCAAATGGAAAAATTCCGCCTGGAACAAAAAGTTTACTTCAAAGGGCAATGCCTTGAAGGTACTCTGCCACCTGTATGCCTGACATCGGGGCTTAGGGTGACCAGGACAAAAGATAAGACTCAGTGAACCAAAGCAGTGTTTCGATAACATTCATCTTACAACTCAGTTTGTAATAGAAGCACTGATTTCTACACTCTGCAAGACAGGGACCCCCAGTGAGACAACCTTAATCAAAGCTGGCCACTGTAGGGGGCTTTGAGGGCTCAGCCTGGGAGCTGATGCCTGGTTTGACCCTGACATGCTCTCATGATGTGGCTATGGAGGCCCCAGTGCAGTGCACTATCATACGGATTTGACTGCCGAGGCCACTCTGCATTGAAGCATCCCATGAAGAGTAAGAACACGTAGACCTCTCAGCTAAAATTCCAAGGGGAAGGGCCTAAACCTGTTTCTATGTAGTTCTCACACTGCCTGGCTGATGCCATAGCTTGCTCTCGGGTCCTAGTCCTTTAGACCCCAAGCCTTTGGCATGGCTCAGTGGACAGCCTGCAGGAGGCTTCTTCGTCTTTTTTTGTTGTTGTTCCTCTGGTCTAGGAGTTTTGGATCGCTTCCTCTGGTGGTTTCCAGGGTAGGACTAGACTAACTCCAGAGAAGCACCTGCTCACCCTGGTTTTTCCTTCTTCCTTCAGAATGGTTCTTCGAGTTTGGCTTTGTGATCCCTAACTCCACAAACACCTGGCAGTCCTTGATAGAGGCAGCACCTGAGTCCCAGATGATGCCAGCAAGCGTCTTAACGTGAGTGAGCAGGTCTCAGGAAACTGCGAAGCCTGTCCCGAGCAGATGCTCCAGGCGGGTGGGACTTCTGATCCCATTCAGTGAGCAGGGCGCTAGGTTGAGAAACAAGGAAAACAGAGTATCCAGGGGGTTCTTGCTTTACAGGTTACTGACCTCTGCCATATGGAATAGACAATGTGATAAAGGGATGGAATCAAAACTTTAGATTAGACCAGATTTAAAATTCCTGGTTCACCCTGACTACATGTATCATCTTGGGCAAGAATGTATTTATCTCTTTGAACCTAATCTCTCATCTCCAAATACAAAATTAGTCATTCCTTCTCACCAAGGTGCAGTGAAGATAAAAGATACAGAGGATGGGGCTGGCAAGTGGTGTGGTGGTTAAGGGTCTGAACTCCCACATAGTCGGACCTAGCGACTTGCTCTCTCTCTGTCTCTCTGGTCAAATTAACATAAATAAATAAATAAATAAATAAATAAAGTTAAATAAAAAGATACAGGGAACCAGCAGTTAGCGTAATGGCTATGTCACTGGACTCCCACGTAGTCGACCGCGGTTCACGTCCCGGACCTGGTGGCTTAAAACTCACGCCAGGCACTTGTGCGTGCGTGCCCAGGATCCTGAGAGGAGATTGGAGGAGAAGGGATTGTGGCGTGACCATCCCCTCTGGGGGGTGATTTCTCGCTCTCTGTCTCTCTGTCTCTCTCTGTCTGGCTGGCGAGCGCACGCGCCCTATAGTGAAAAAAAACTCTCCAAAAAAAAAAAAAGGATACAGAGGAAATCGTCATGTGATACATACTGAGGCCATGCTCATTCACACCCTTCCTGTCCACTGTACTTCTGGTATCTCTGTGCCTTGTTTGCATCTCCTCTAATGAAGTCTGGTAGGGTCCTTATTCTGTTTAGAAGATGTTTGATTACAGTTTTTCAGCAACTGTACATGGGTTACTATTTTAATAGCGTGCTTCCTGTCCCTGTTCAAAGAACAACTACTTTGTCCTTTGTCTAAAAATGCTGTTGATAACTAGTCATTTTTTAAAATTATTTTATTTAATTTTATGTATTTATTTATTTTAATTTTGAGAGACAGAGTGAGAGAGGGGAAGTGAGAAAGCAAGCCACCAGACTTGGGACTCAAACCACGGTCAGCCATGTGGGAGTGCAGTGCCCTTAACCACCATACCATTTACTGGCCCCAGTATTTGGGTTTTTTTAGAGAGCTACAGGGCACGTGCACCTACTGGAGAGACAGAGAGAGACAGAAAACAAGAATCACCCCCCAGAGGGGATGGCCACACTGCAATCCCTTCTCCTCCACTCTCCTCTTAGGATCTTGGGCACTCACACACATGCACCCAGTGTGAATTTTAAGCTGCTGGGTCCAGAACTCAAACCACAGTCAACTATGTGGGAATGCAGTGACATAACCATTATACCTTCTGCTGGTCTCAATGTTTAGTAATATTTTAGATGTTCTATTAATACTGCCTTCTAAAGAGTTAGTCCCACAGATTATTGTGCAATATTGGATCATCTCTTTCAACATAAAAAGTAAATAACCTCATATTAAATACTTAATTATGAGCAGAAATGTGTCTGCTGATTATTAATTACCCTGGAGAAGTTATTTTAAAGATTTCGTTAGCTTTCATGCATGATGTTTTTCAGATAGTCTATGATAACGTCTTTTTTTTTGGAGGGATTTTTTTGCTATACGGCACATGCGTTCGCCAGAAAGACAGACAGAGGGACAGAAAGTGAGAAATCACCCCTCAGGGGTGGGATGGCCACACTGCAATTCCTTCTCCTTTATTCTCCTCTCGGGATCTTGGGCACACCCACACACACCCAGCGTGAGTTTAAGCCACCGGGTCCGGGACCCGAACCGCGATCGACTACATGGGAGTCCAGCTACATAGCCATTACGCTATCTGCTGGTCCCAGTCTATGATAACATCTTTAGGTTAAGTCATGCTTCACTTTTTAGAGATCCAGAAAACAATACTTAATTTTTTAGAATCTCTGGGACCAGCAGATGGCATAATGGCTATGTCACTGGACTCCCATGTAGTCGACCACAGTTTGAGTCCCAGACCCAGCAGCTTAAAACTACCAGGTATATGTATGTGTGTGCCCAAAATCCTAAGAGAAGAATGGAGGAGAAGGAATTGCAGTGTGGCCATCACCTGGGGGGATGATTTCCTACTTTCTGTCTCTCCAGCAAGTGCATGCACCCTAAAGCAAAAATGTCTCTTTAAAAAAAAAAAGAGGAAAAAAAATTTCAAAAAACAAGTGCCCTTAATTCAGCTCAAGAGCGATTTGATAAGGCTGCTGTATCTCCCATTTGGGGAACCTTCCAAGAAAAATTAAATTCCATCCTCACAATACAGCTGATCATTTAGCATTTAGCATTCTTTGGGGGCAAGCCACAGAAACAGGCTCTGGTAAATATATCAGAGTTGAAGGCATGAGGGGGAGACCTGGGTAACTGAGGGGTGCAGGGGTAGGATTCCACAATGGCATCCCCTATAGCTGCCACTGGAAGGAGCCTACTCACGGGAGAGTCTGGCCCAAATTACATCCTGTGCTGCCCCTTTGCCAGGTGAGGCAGAGGCCATTTGACTGATACTTGGACTAGAGGAGGGGCGGTTCCTCAAATGAAGAGCACAGGGGTTAGGAGAGTAGATGTCAGGCAGGCTACACCCCGGCTGTCCAGTATGATAGGGATTGTGGGGAAGGGTACCAGCATTCCTGAGGTCTGAGGCTTCCATACAAACCAGTTGGAGGTATCCATGCTGCAGTACCAGAAAGTCAGCTGATCTCTAAGCACCCTGTGTGCAGAGCACTCTACGGAGAGAGCTTTAGAATATCCCGAGGAATGGAGACTTGCTCTCACTTCTGATTTCTTAGCTGCAGGGGGTCGGACCTAGTCACATAAGTTAAATGTCACATTGGATCCCTAACCCACATGGACACAGATTTTAATGTCCCCAAGCTAAGGCTCTGGGTGAGTGCATGTTCATGGGCCCAGCAAGCACAGATAGAGAGCACTTTGTAGAAATGGAGTCTCGTACCTCACATGCTCACTGTCTTTCTTTTGCCCTCTCTTTGTTTCTCTTCTTACTTACAGTGGGAACGTTATCATAGAAACAAAGTTTTTTGATGATGATCTTCTTGTAAGCACATCCAGAGTGAGACTTTTCTACGTTTGAGAGAAGGATGTATGTGCACTTCAAGAATTTGGGTATTTTGAGGGGAGGAGGAAACCGTTTACTTTTTTCCTCCACATGTTTGATTTTTGACACTTTCACCCCTAATTCCCTCTATGGCAGAACCCAGCTGCAGCCACCAGGGGACCAGCTCTGTGTAGATAACCAGATGGCATTTTTTTCCCAAGGTGCCATCTTCTACTGACCAGGTTAAACTCTCAATCCCAGACCAGGGCAGGAGACGTGCCTCACTCCTTCCTGGAGTAAACCGGGAGACAAACATGAGTGCAGCCAGCGCTGTACCTGTCACCCCCCACCGCCTCTTTGGGCCCTGCAGGCTACACATCTTCCTTCAACCCCTGGTTTTGGAAACATTCATGTTCCTCACCCATGTTTAGTTTTCTTCTTACCATTTCTATTTCATACATTCTCATACATTTAACCTGTAAAATAGACTGTGATATTATTATTACATAATGTAATTAAAACATATGAATTAAAATATTCCTACAGTCTTTAGCATGGCACTGCTTTTATCTCTCCTTTTTTTCTGGAACATGAACCTGGCTGGATGACAGGGAAAATGACATCAGATCATAGGATCACAACTGTTTTACGCCAGTGATCGACAGAGCTTGTAGTTTTCAAGAACCTCGGTTGCTGCTTTCCAAGAATGTACAACATACTGGAACAAGACCATGATCTTCACACGCCTTCCAGTCACCACAGTTACTGGACTCTTCCACAACGAACAAGCACCCTTTGTTTATTGCTGTTCTAACTTTTTCCGTTCCTTTACAATGTTCACTGTACAAGCGGTTTCCAGGAGGGTAGACGTTCTAAGGTGGCAGAGTAGGGACACTTGAGGACTAGAAGTTACAAGCTGAAGAGATCACCCTGGACCTGACTTGCAGACTGATAGGAAAGCCTTGGGCTGGGGAGGCTGGGAGGCCTCCTAGACCAGGTCAGAGGAAGCTGCCTGGGAGAGAAGGAATTACAGCTGCAGTGCTTTCAGGTCTGACCAAGACAGAAATCAAAACACATTCTTTTTTAGGAACTTGCCTCTTAGCTACCAGTAGCATTTTTGTTTGTTTGTTTTTGATTGGCGCAGAGTGCACGTCCCTGCCAGAGAAGAAGAGAAAGCACCTCCCACTGGGGTGTAGTTATGCCTCAATCCCTTCTCCTCCATTTCTCCATCCTGTCAGAAGTTTGGGCATATGCGCGAGCTTATGCACACACACATCCAGCATGTTTTCCGAGCCACCAGGACTGGATTTGAACTGCGATCGGCCATGTGGAATCTGACTCCCTTAACCAGACGGCCGTGGGGCCAGCCCAACTACTAATAGGTTTCACTGTCCTTTGTAAGGAACTGACAAAAATTTTCTGGTTACGAAAGTATAAAGTGTGAGGCCAGAAGAGAGGAGACTACACTGGAGAGGATCCCCATTTCCCATTTGGTATGTTCCCTGCTCTCAGATTTCTGCTTGCATCTGTGGGTGGGGAGGACATGTAATACTGTTTTGAGAGATATTTGTTATGGGACTCATCCACTCACTGGAGAAACAGAGACAGAAAGCAAGAAATCACTCCCCAGGGGGGATGGCCATGCCACAATCCCTTCTCCATTCTCCTCTTGGGATTTTGGGCACATATACACATGTGCCCTGCATGAGTTTGAAGATGCCAGGTCCAGGATTCAGACCGCAGTCTTCTTTGTGGGAGCTCAGTGCCTTAACCACTACGCCATCTGCTGGCCCCCACATGTGATACATTTTTAGCATACGAGTGCCATCTTTATGTATTTGTCTAAAGAATTATTTATTTAATTTTTATTTATTCATTTATTTATTTTAATTTGATCAGAGAGAGAGAGAGAGGGAAAGTGAAAAAGCAGGCCACCAGATCCAGGACCCCAACCATGATCAGCCATGTGGGAGTGTCTAGCACCTTAACCACCATGCCACCTGCTGCCCCCACGAGGGCCGTCTTTAAATGACAGTCTTGTGGGCTAGCAGGTGGCATGGTGGTTAAGGCTCTGGATCCCACTCCGTGGTTCAAATCCTGGACCCAGTGACTTGAAAAACACAGTGGGCATGTATATGTGTGCCCAAAATTCCAAGAGGAGCATAGAGGAGAAGGGATTACAGCATCGCCCCCAGGGGGTGATTTCTCTCTCTCTCTCTCTCTCTCTCTCTCTCTCCCTCTCCCCCCCCCCCCCCCCCCACACCCCCCCCCCGCATACCCTTTCTCTCTCTCCCCAGTGAGTACATGTGCCCTATAACCAAAACAACAACAACAAAAAAAACAGCAAAGTAACATTTCTTTCCCTCATATCAGGCCTGTGGTCTTCAAAAGCTGTATTTTAGGCCCAGCTGCAGCAGCACAGCAGGAGGGCCCCACTCATGATGGCTGGGGCTGCACAGGAGGCCCACCTTTGGTTGCCGGCCCAGCCTTACAGAGCAGGCATGTGGTTCTAGCCGACTGGGAACTAACTCGAGCTGGAAGGATCATGACGTGGCAAGATCCTTCCTGTCAAAAATATCTCTTTGTTTTGAAGGAAAAGAAAAAAAGACTATGTATTAAATACCAAAACTGGTAAAAAGCAAGGTGAAAATGAATCCACGTTCTCTTGCTTTTTGGAAATGCCATCTGTTTCCTCAGAGTTGGCCCCTTTTCTTCCCCTTTCCTGAACCATGCCTGCTCCCAGAATTGCAATTGCATCAGGCACTTTCTCGGGACAGACACATTCTAACGGAGAGCAGACTGCTCAGAGAATGCTTCTGCTCTCACCCACCAGGCAAGATTGTCAGACACCTCTGCTGGCTGCTCTGAGGAAACCAGCATTACAGCTCATCACTTCAGGGTAACAATACACATGCTAAGGGAAGAGTTATACCAAAGAAGGTGCTTGGGGGACAATATGATTAGGAACCCCAAGATAGGCAGCTGGAGTTTGAGATGGCAGGGAAGATGGCTGAGTGAATGGTGGGAGAGAGGGTACAGACTGGGCAGAAACACAACAGAGTTTGCAGGAGCTGCGGGGACTAGGACCCTCAGGAGGTCAAGGTCAGCCCTGGTAGGGTGGGTATAGGCCAGCCAAGGTGGGCCTGGGTGCAGGTTGGATGCCTGAAGATCTTCAGTTTCTCCAGATACCTTGAAGCCATTGAATATTATTGGAAGGAGAAGTGTAGAGACTGCCTGGCACTGCGTATGGCCTAGCACATGGGATCTGGCCATCCTTGCAGGCCCTGACACATGTCAACAACACATGAGGAATAGGCCTGCCTTGGCTGAGCTCTTGTCTCCTAGGGGAATATGACAAGTAAAGGTCATAAATGCCAGGGAAGTACAAGTAGAAATGAATGGATTTATTCATTTTTAGGGTTTTGCCATAGGGGGGTGTGACCTCACCAGAGAGAGAGAGTAAGAGGGCAAATGAGAAATCACTCCCCACGGGAGATGGTCACGCCACAATTCCTTTTCTGTTCTTTTGGAATTTTGGGCATGTACATGTGCACACACACATACACACATACACACACACACACACACACAGAGCATGATTTTCAAGCTGCCAGATCTGGGACTCAATCCATGGTCAGCCCTGTGTAAGTCCAGCACTTTAGCTACCATGTCACCTGCTGGGCCCTACAGGTAAGAATTTAAAGGAAGAAGAGATTGCACCCAATACAAAATCAAGAAAGCCTTTTCTCTGGATTTCTCAGTTCAGTCCACAAAACATGGTCAGGTCACCGTAAAAGAAATACATTTAAGGGACCAGCAGTTGGCATAATGGCAATGTTGCTGGACTCCCATGTAATCAACTGCGGTTCAAGTCTCAGACCTGGTGGCTTAAACTCACACCAGGAGTGTGTGCATGCGTGCCAGGATCCTTAGAGGAGAATGGAGGAGAAGGGATTGCGACATGGCCATCCCCCCTGGGGAGTGATTTCTTGCTTTCTGTCTCTCTGTCTCTTTCTGTCTTTCTGGAGAGCGCTACGCCACTAGAAAAAACCCCTCAAAAAAAAAAAAAAAAAAGTTAAAAAAAATAAACTAGTCAATTTAATAGAGGTTTTTTGTTTTTTGGGTTTTTTTTATTTTTTGTTTGTTTTTGTTTTTTAAGAGATTTTTGTTATAGGGTGTGTGCACTCACTGGAGACACAGAGAGATAGAAAGCAAGAAATCACCACCTGAGGAGATGGCCATGCCACAATCCATTTTTCTCCATTCTCCTCTCAGGATCTTGGGCACACATGCACACATACCTGGCATGAGGTTTAAGCCACCACATCCAGGACTCAAACCACGCTCAACTCTTTGGGAGTCCAGCAACGTAACCATTACGCCATCTACTGGTCCCAGATTTTTTTTTAATTTTATTTATTCATCCATTTAGTTTTATATTTTAAGATTTGACCAGAGAGAGACACAGAGAGATAGAGAGGAAATGAGAAAGCAAGCCACCAGGTCTGGGACTCTTAACCGTGGTTGGCCATGTGGGAGTGTCCAGCACCTTAACCACCACACCACCTGCTGTTCCCCGACCCAGATTATTATTATTTTTTTTTAGTTCTTTTTGCTATAGGGTGTGTGCACTCACCGAAAAGCCACAGACAGAAAACAGAAAATAAGAAATCACCCTCCAAGGGGGATGGCCATGCCACAGTCCTCTCTTCATTCTCCTCTTGGGATTTTGGTCACACACACACACACACCCAGTGCGAGTCTCAAGCTACCAGGTTCAAGACCTGAACCATAGTCGACCACATGGGAGTCCAGCAATATAACCACTACACCATCTGCTGGTCCCAATATGTGCATTTTTTAAAATAAGTCTTTTCCTTCAACCCCATATTGCCTTCAGTGCCTGAGTCCACCCTTCTTTTTCTGTCTGGATCCAAACTCCTTGACCCTGTCTTTCCTCATTTTCTGCTCCACCTCTTCACCCCTCCACACGGCACTTGCTGGCTCGGGCCCCCATGCCTCCAGCAGCTCCTTCCAACCCTTCCTGCAGTGTTTGCTGTATTCTAAACTTTGGATGCCTCTTGAGATTGTCTTGGATTCAGAGAGCCTCTTTCCTGGGTGTTCTCCTTCATAGGCTCTTTTTCTTCCAGCTGCCTTGTTCCTGAAGGTTTCGGATATGGTTGTTTTTCTTTTGGTAGTTGTGTATTGAGAATGTGTGCTGATT